ATATATATATATATATATATATATATATATATATATATATATATATATATATATATATATATATATATATATATATTAATCGGCACATATATATAATATATATAATCGAATATTTATATATATAATATTATATTCCAAAATATTTTATTTTACTATTTTACAAATATAGAAATTACTTATTATCCCATTGTTTAATCCTACTCCTTAAATTGTCCAAAGTGTGTGACCCGTATAAGCACTTATAAAGCTGGCCACAGTATTGGCTCTGCACCAATACTATAAGCAATAAGCGGTATCTAGCAACACATTATTGCCCCCAGATTATAAGTTAAGACGTTTGCACCGTCAAAACTTTTCCACGACTCAGACTCCGTGTAACTGTATCCCTTTGTCTCAATGTCTAAACTCAATGCAAGGGATTAATAAAATCCAACTTGTATCCATTAAGTCATTCACTGATTTATCAAGTCCGACTAATAGGAACAAATGTCATAAAAACATCTCAGCATGGCCATGCAATTTCCTTAGTCATAACTTATCAGTGGGCCCCATAAGACATTAATTTCTTTAAAAAGAGTAATGACAAATCCTATGTACGTAATCTACGTTTCTGAATACGCGCTGCAGCATACCCAAAACAAAGCCTGTATACCATCCTTATTTCATATGGCTTAGGACAATGCATCAAAGTATGCGGGTTCACATATGCAGAAAACGTAATACTTCAAGTCGAAGGATAGTTACACCCGTGGTCACGCTAAAAATGCTTAGAGCATGAACTAAAAGTTCAAGCAACATCTTTAGGATGGGTCAGTCCGGCATCCTAATATCTCTAGATAATATCTGCCCATGTGCGGATGCGAACACACCGTCATTGACTATGAGACTAAGTCAAACATCCAACACACACTAGTCTCACATGCATTAACGATATCCCACTCTCTTTAATACTCGACTATGGACATTTAGATAAATATTTATTTCAAGATGTTAGTCTCATCAGCAGAATAACACTATCTGATAAACATCTTTAAATATATATCTAGGAATATAATATTTGTTTACATTAGCATGAGATGTGTAAACATAATATATCTGCCTATAGATGATAGAATAATGATAAACAGTTGGCCATCAGGGCACAACTCCAACAATCTCCCACTTGCACTATGGCCAATCTGGCATCGGTCGAATGCCCATGGACCTAGTGTGACCCTCATGCTTTAGCTTTCCTAAAGGCTTGGTCAAGGGATCGGCTATTTTGTCGTCAGTATCTACTTTGCAAATCATCACATCTCCTCTATCTACGATTTCTCGTATGATGTGATAGCGTCGTACAATGTGTTTGGTTTTCTGCTGAGATCGCGGTTCCTTTGCCTGTGCAATGGCCCCAGTGTTGTCGCAAAACAACGAGATAAGGTCATTAATACTAGGAACCACTCCAAGTTCAGTAATGAACTTCTTGATCCAAACAGCTTCTTTTGCTGCCTCGGCGGCAGCTATGTACTCAGCCTCTGTAGTCGAATCGGCGGTTGTATCCTCCTTAAAGCTCTTCCAACTAAAAGCTCCACCATTCAGGCAAAACAAATATCCTGCTTGTGATTTTGAATCGTCTCTGTCGGTTTGGAAGCTAGCATCAGTGTAACCGACCACCTTTAGCTCTTCCTCACCACCGTATACCAGGAATGCATCCTTAGTATTGCGAAGATACTTGAGGATGTTCTTGACCGCTGTCCAGTGTGCTTCTCCTGGACTTCCCTGGTATCTGCTGGTCACGCTTAAAGCGAATGAGACATCAGGTCTAGTACATATCATGGCGTACATGATGGATCCAATCGCAGAGGCGTATGGAACCTTCATCATGAGTTCCTTTTGCTCGGGAGTAGAAGGACTCTGGCTCTTGGAAAGAACCGTGCCAGGTGTCATAGGTAAAGATCCTTTCTTTGAGTTAGACATGCTAAATCGATCAAGGATTTTATCTATATATGTACTTTGATTTAGACCTATTAACTTTCTTGATCTATCTCGGTAGATTCTTATGCCAAGGACATAACTAGCATCCCCTAAGTCTTTCATGGAGAAGTTCTCGCTCAACCACGTCTTTACAGAAGTGAGAGCGGGAATATC